ACTTCCCTGGTGGCACACTGGTTAAGAATCCACCTGCCACTGCAGGAGACATGGGTTCAAGCCCTGGTCTGGGAAGATCCCACATGCTGCGGAGCAACTAAACCCATGCACTGCAACTACTGGGCCTGCATTCTACAGCCCACTTGCCACAGCTACTGAAGCCCGCAAGCCTAGAGCCCGTGCTCCACAACAAGGAGAAGCCACCACAATGAGAAAACCATGCCCCACAAGGAAGAGTAGCCACTGCTCACCACAACTACAAAAGCCCATGCACAGCAACGAAGACCCAATGCAGCCAAAAAATAAATAAATAAATATATATTTTTAAAAAAGCAGAATACACTTTCTTCTCAAGTGCACATGTAACATTCTCCAGAACAGATTGCATCTTGGGTCACAAATCAAGCCTTGGTAAATTTTAGAAAATTGAAATCACATCAAGCATCTTTTCCAACCACAACGCTATGAGACTAGATATCAATTACAGGAAAAAAAAGTGTAAAAAAATACAAACACATGGAGGTTAAACAATATGCTGTTAAACAACCAAGAGATCACTGAAGAAATCAAAGAGGAAATCAAAAAATACCTAGAAACAAATGACAATGAAAACACGATGACGCAAAACATATGGGATGCAGCAAAAGCAGTTTTAAGAGGGAAGTTTACAGCAATACAATCCTACCACAAGAAACACCTCAAGTAAACAACCTAACCTTACACCTAAACCAATTAGAGAAAGAAGAACAAAAAACCCCAAAGTTAGCAGAAGGAAAGAAATCATAAAGATCAGACCAGAAATAAATGAGAAAAGAAATAACAGAAACAACAGCAAAGATCAATAAAACAAAAAGCTGGTTCTTTGAAAAAATAAACAAAATTGATAAACCATTAGCCAGACTCATCAGGAAAAGAAAGAAGACTCAAATCAACAGAATTAGAAATGAAAAAGAAGTAACAACTGACACCTCAGAAATACAAAGGATCATGACAGACTACGACAAGTTACTATATGCCAATAAAATGGACAACCTGGAAGAAATGGACAAATTCTTAGAAAAGTAAAACCTTCCAAGACTGAACCAGGAAGAAAAAGAAAATATAAACACACCAATCACAAGCACTGAAACTGAAACTGTAATAAAAATCTTCCAACAAACGAAAGTCCAGGACCAGATGGCTTCACAGGCAAATTCTACCAAGCATTTAGAGAAGAGCTAACACCTATCCTCCTCAAACTCTTCCAAAATATAGCAGAGGGAGGAACACTCCCAAACTCATTCTATGAGGCCACCATCACCTTGATACCAAAACCAGACAAAGATGTCACAAAAAAAGAAAACTACAGGCCAATATCTATGATGAACATAGATGCAAAAATCCTCAACAAAATACCAGCAAACAGAATCCAACAGCACATTAAAAGGATCATACACCATGATCAACTGGGGTTTATCCCAGGAATGCAAGGATTCTTCAATATACACAAATCAATCAATGTGATACACAATATTAACAAACTGAAGGGTAAAAACCATATGATAATCTCAATAGATGTAGAAAAAGCTTTCAACAAAATTCAACACACATTTATGATAAAAACTCTACAGAAAGTGGGCACAGAGGGAACCTACATGACATAATAAAAGCCATATATGACAAACCCACAGTGAACATCATTCTCAATGCTGAAAAACTGAAACCATTTCCTCTAAGATCAGGAACAAGACAAGGGTGCCCACTCTCACCACTATTATTCAACATAGTTTTGGAAGTTTTAGCCACAGCAATCAGAGAAGAAAAAGAAATAAAAGGAATCCAAGTTAGAAGAGAAGAGATAAAACTCTCACTGTTTGCAGATGACATGATACTATACACAGAAAATCCTAAAAATGACACCAGAAAACTACCAGAGCTAATCAATGAATTTTGTAAAGTAGCAGGATACAAAATTAAGGCTCCCAGACTTCAGACTATACTACACAGCTACAGTAATCAAGACAGTATGGTACTGGCACAAAAACAGAAACACAGATCAATGGAACAGGATAGAAAGGCCAGAGATAAACCCATGCAACTCTGGTCACATTACCTTTGACAAAGGAGGCAAGAATACACAATGGAGAAAACACAGCCTCTTCAATAAGTGGTGCTGGGAAAACTGGACAGCTACATGTAAAAGAATGAAATTAGAACACTCCCTAACACCATACACAAAAATAAACTCAAAATGGATTAGAGACCTAAATGTAATACCAGATACTATAAAACTCTTAGAGGAAAACATAGGAAGAACACTCTTTGACATAAATCATAGCAAGATCTTTTTTGATCCACCTCCTAGAGTAATGGAAATAAAAACAAAAATAAACAAATGGGACCTAATGAAACTTAAAAGCTTTTGCACAGCAAAGGAAACCATAAACAAGACCAAAAGACAACCCTCAGAATGGGAGAAAATATTTGCAAACGAATCAATGGACAAAGGATTAATCTCCAAAATCCACAAGCAGCTCATGCAGCTCAATTTCAAAAAAATAAACAACCCAGTCCAAAAATGGGCAGAAGACCTAAATAGACATTTCTCCAAAGAAGACTTACACATTGCCAACAAACACATGAAAAGATGCGCAACATCACTAATCATTAGTGAAATGCAAGTCAAAACCAAAATGAGGTCACCTCACACTGGTCAGAATGGTCATCATCAAAAAATCTACAAACAATAAATGCTGGAGAGGGTATGGAGAAAAGAGAACCCTCCTACACTGTTGGTGGGAATGTAAATTGATACAGCCACTGTGGAGAACAGCATGGAGTTTCCTTAAACTAAAAATAGAACTACTATATTACCCAGCAATCCCACTACTGGGCATATTCCCTGAGAAAACCATAATTCAAAAAGAGTCATGTACCACAATGTTCATTGCAGCACTATTTACAACAGCCAGGACATGGAAGCAACCTAAATGTCTCTTGACAGGTGAATGGATAAAGAAGATGTGGCACATATATACAATGGAATATTACTCAACCATTAAAAGGAACGAAATTGGGTCATTTGTAGAGACATGGATGGGCCTAGAGACTGTCATAAGAGTGAAGTAAGTCAGAAAAACAAATACCGTATAATAACGCATATATTTGGAATCTATGAAAATGGTACTGATGAACCTAGTGGCAGGGCAGGAATAAAGATGCAGATGTATAGGACAGACTTGAGGACACAGCGGGGGAAGGGGAAGCTGGGACTAAGTGAGAGAGTAGCACTGACATATATACACTACCAAATGTAAAATGGATGGCTAGTGGGAAGCTGCTGAATAGCACGGGGAGATCAGCTCGACACTTTGTGACAACCTAGAGGGGTGGGATAGGGAGGATGGGAGGGAGGCTCAAGAGGAAGGGGATATGGGGATGTATGTATATATATATATAGCTGATTAACTTTGTTGTACAGCAGAAACTAACACAACATTATAAAGCAATTATACTCCAATAAAGATGCAAAAAATAAATATAGTATAAAAAATAAAAAAGAAATAAGAAAAATAAAAAGAGGGAAAGGGATATATTCTTCAAAAATGTCCATTTTGATGGGACTTCCCGGTGGCACAGTAGTTAAAGAATCTGCCTGCCAATGCAGGGGACACAGGTTTGATCTGTGGTCTGGGAAGACCCCACATGCTGCGGAGCAACTAAGCCCGTGCACCACAACTACTAAGCCTGCACTCTAGAGCCCACAAGCCACAACTACTGAAGCCCGCGCACCTAGAGCCTGTGCTCCACAGCTAGAGAAGCCACTGCAATGAGAATCCTGCACACCACAACAAAGAGTAGTCCCTGCTCACCACAACTAGATAAAGCCCACATGCAGCAACAAAGATCCAATGCAGCCAAAAATAATAAATAAATAAATTTATTTATTAAAAAAAAAAGTCCATGTTTTAAAAGAGAGAGAAAGACTGTGGAAATCTTTCCAAATTAAAGAAACCTAAAGACATATGGCAGCTAAATGCAAATATCTGACCCTAATGTAAATCCCAAATTGGATGGGGGGAAAGGATGGTATTGGGTTAACTGACAAAATTAGAGACAAATAGTAGGTTAGATAAAAAGTATTGTATGAAAGCTAAGTTTACTGAGGTTGATACAAATAATGTGGTTAAATAAGAGATATTCGTATCCCTATTTTTAGGAAATACAGATTTCTTAAGGAAGTAGATAGGGATAAAACACCATGATGTATGTAACTTACTCTTAAATTGTTTAGAAAAACAATCACGTGTGTGCGCGTGTGCCGGGGTGGAGGGAGGGAGAGAAAGACTGAGAGACACAGAGAGAGAGAGATTGAGAAAGTGGGTGCAAAGCAAATGGGGTAAAATGTTATTAATAAGTGATTCTGAGTAAAGAGCATGCAGGTATTCTCTGTACTAGGTTTTTTTTTCTTTTTTTTTAAGTCTTCTGTAAGTTTGAAATTACCTCTAAATAAAAAGATTAAAATATTGCTATGTCTACTGCTAACAGAAAAATTAAAATATAGACATAAATACATAAACGCATGCAGACACACGTGTGTGTATATATGTGCATGTGTGTTTATATATTTTAAAGATGTATCTCTTAAAAATTCTGATATCTCAGTAACTTAATGGACTTTTTAATAATCAAAATGATTGAGAAATTAAGGTATTTGTCCTATATGTAAATAAGGGAGAGGCGGAAAAAGCCCAAATAGGGTAGAAGCAGTTATTACTGATAAAACAAAGCCATTTCATGTTTATTTCCCCCATCAATTGACATTTTCAATGAACCAGTTATATCTAACTTATTTAAGTGGGGAAAGCATTAGGTTTCTCATTCTCATTTTTAAAAGGAGAAACTGAAGCATGGTGAAAAGCCACAGTAAGTAATACAGCTGAGATTCAATAGTATGTCTCTTGAAACACAGTAACAATGTCAGTACAAGTTTTGGTAGCATTTAGGAGCAAGCTGCTTACCTCTCAATAGCTAATTCTTTGTTAGAAAGTTGCTGCACTGTAATCACAACCTTCTTCTCTATTCCTTGTTTTAATTTGAAATAAAATTTATCTCTATCCTTAGGCACAGGACTGAAATATGCAAAAAGAACAGGAATTAACAATAATTAAAAACAATAAAAAAGATCTCTCTTTCAAGGTTAGAATGAGCCAACAAACTATTTAAGCAAGAACACCCTAATTCTTAAGATATCCTAACTCTCATCTTGCCACAGTGTAACTACAAACTTTACAGTCAGCAAAACAGAGTTGTTATTGATTTCTAAACTGGGTTTACAAGAGCCTTATAATTTATCTCTAACGAGATTAAAAACAAAACTTTTTAAATGACATCATTTCAAATTTTAGTTTTTAAATTTTAACACATTTAGGAACATGGTTTATTTAATTACTTTTAAGACTGTCACATTTCTGGTTTAGCTGGTTGCATGAATGCCTTTAACACAGTGAAACCCAAGGCAAAAACTGAGAAGGAGAGCTTACTTTTAAACATCTAGAGTTTGAGATGACTGTGACAAATCCAAGTAAATATAAATAAAAGATGAACAAAGAGGTACAGATCAGGGCAAGTTAAATTCTAGCCTAGGCCAGACTGACAATTCTCAAGAATTAGTTCATTAAAACAATAAGTGTCTAAAAGAAACAAAACAAAAACAGTTTAGTGTCTAAAATATAGGTTGCCTTATCTGAAAAGGAAAAATACCTTTAGCAACTTATTTGACCTACGACTCAATTTCTGTATCTGTAAAAAACAGGTAAAATACCTACCTAACAATTATGGTTAGAAACAAAGGCAAAGTAAAGGCCCATAACTGATCATTAAAGAGTATAACTGTTTCCTATTATCTGCCTATTTTTGAACTAAAGAAGAACATTCCAAATACACAGCAGAAGGAAATGGTTAATTAAATGATGGTCAAACCATACAATATACTACTGGTAACCATTAAAAATGATTTTAAGAATATTTTAATTGAAAAATTCTTATATCATGAAGTTAAAAGAAAAAACTATATATATATATATATATATATACAACTGTATAAAAATACACCCTAGAAATCAAATATTAAAAGTGATTGTGGCTGACAAAACCATAGCTTTTTATTCTAATTTTATTATTTTACTAAATTTTCTACAGTAAATATCAGTATTTTAAAATATTAAGAAAATAATTTACATAAAATATCTGAAAAGCATGACAAAAGTGAACCATGCATTCACCAGTGAAATATTTCTTTATCATCCTAAAGCTTTATACCAACATTGCATATTCTGGCAACTTTAAATTAGCCAATATTATATTTCAGACACAATACCAATTTTTAATCTTTCCAAACAACCTCACCTAAAGTTTCCTTTTCCATCATCTTCTTTTACCTCCAAGGAGACACTGAAGGTAAATACATCACTGTCAGGGGTAGGAATAACTGAGTCTTTAACATCAGATACTTGTCTAGAAGACCGTTTGAAAGCTGTACAGAAACTATACAAAATTCTGCTTACCTAAAAGAATAAAAATGGAAACAATATTAGACAAAGATTTAACTGCATTTTGATAAACTTCTTTCCTAATTCTTGAATCTATAATTTCCCATGGTCACAATGCTCTTTAGCAGATAAGATAGATATAGTCTAAGCATATACACACACACACACAGAGTTTGTAATATACAGTGTGTATATATACATAGTATAAGCATATATACACACACACAGTTGACCCCTAAACAACATGGGTTTGAACTGCACGGGTCCCCTTATATGCAGATTTTTTTCAACAGTAAATACTACAGTAGTATACAAGCCACGGCTGGTTGAAGTGGCAGATGCGGAAGAGTGGATAAGGAGGAACCGCTCATATGGAAGGCCAACTATAAATTATACATGAATTTTTGACTGCACAGAGGGTCAGCGCCCCTACGACATGCCACCCCCCAGCCCCAGCGCACTGTTCAAGGGTTAACTGTAGTTTGCTTCTTTCAATCTGGCATTTAAACACCAAAATAAAGACGTTTAATTTAAAGTCACAAAAGAAGCTGTATGTATGTATAGATGTTTCTATGACCCCTAAGATACTATATTGCAATGAATGAAGCCTAAGATAATTACTAGAATGATACTGGCATCTAAACCTTCCCAATGAACACACACAAACAAGGTTTTAGCCCAAGGTGTCAATTTCTCTTTTCACTTCTCTCAGCTTCAGAGGGCTAGATCCTGAGGCATAGAATAAATACTGTTTTTTGCAAAAAGAAAACATGGTAGCATGATTTAAAGAGCTTCCAGTATTGTTAACGTTGTTGTTGTATAAATGTGTCATAGAATGAATGAATCCTGAAATGTTCTTATCTAATTTATTAGTATTAAGCCACCCTGGTGACTTTATATACACACACATACATAAATATATGTATGTGTGTATATATATGGATGGCTTTTACTCCTCCCCTAAAGTGGAGGAGTACTCTACATCCCACACTCTTCCAGGCGGTATTATCTTCCTTGGTTCCAAAAGAAGCATCAAACTTGTCTGCTTCAAACACAAAAGAACTGCCAAATCTCTCAGGCCCCTCATGGGTTGAACAAATAAAAACAAGATGAAATAAGAAGGGTTTGAACAAAGTTCATATTTTCAAAATCTCACACTGGGAGGTACTAGTAAAGAAACTTCTCTGAATATTAAATCCTTCACTTTAGATAAAGTGAATTCAAAGTATTCTTTGTATTAATCTAGGATTATAATATTTTATAATTTGCTTGAAATAAGAGCACTCTCATTAACAGTAGAATTTCTTCAAGTATGGGGGTCTTTCCTCAATATTCTATTTTTATTATATTCATACATTCTCTAACACATACATACTCTAACACATTCAATGGTCCTCAAACTTCCAATGGCCACACTTACATCCAGTAATCAATGATTACCCTAAACTGCCTTTTCAGTGCCAAATCAATCGTTTTCTAAATTAACTGACTTACACAGGTTAACTGTATAAGAATGCTGCCTGCCAGCCTAAAGTTCAACTTCAATCAATAGCATCATATTTGTATCACTGCATTCATAAAATTTTTTAATATGTTAAAGTTATCTCATTATAATTTTATATAAATGAGTAACAAAGCAGCAAAGGATTCATATTAATAATAACTGTAGACCTCAAATCTTATACAATTAAGACAATTATAAGTTCACTCATTCATTCAACCAATACTTTTTGAGTGCCTTCTGTGTACTAAGTATTATTCTAGGAGAGAGGGATACAGCTGTGTACATGGAGCTTTCATTTCAGCACATGTAAGTTGAATGTGCTTGGGGTGAATGGGAGGAATCATTAGGTAAGGCAAAAACAGATATGTTCAGCCTCAACTGGACCCTTATTGGACTTAGCTCAATAATTTAAATGTTATAGAGGAAAACAGAATCAAAGAACATGCTAGAAATAAGTCACTGAAGATTATGCCTACAAGGTAAAGTGTAAACAGGGACTTTAAACTATTTTCAGTACTTTGAGTACTGCCTACTTCCTAACTCCAAATAAAATGTGATGTCTCTTATTTACATTTTATGTGTATTTAAGAAAACATTTTTAAGCATATTTTTAAGAAAACATTATATGTGAAAACAGAATACCTGTACTTAGTTTTTGATACATTAGTAAAGTTAAACCCCAACCCTATTTATTATTTTTTCTTCTCTCCTATATTCTTCTATTTCATTTTCTTTGTATCAGAGCTGTCCACAAGCCTACACATCATGCCACACCAAAAAAAAAGTCAAAGAACTTGGCGAATTCTAAAGTATATGGGCAAGGCTCAGGAATGTCTTTTGAAAAAGGCTAAGCATATGGGGCTGAGCCAGAGTGGTAGAGAATGATGGGGGGGGAAATCAGCCTACACCTTTCTCTCTTCTTGGAGGAAGGACACAACAGTACCTTAACAGCAATCAAACTGCATTTAATCCTGACCAGTCTTAGAAGTTGCTATTTCCAACAACAAGGTTAAAATCATTTGTGACTTCTAGAGTCTGTGAATAAGCTGGAATGATGATCCAAGAATTGGTAAGGTAGAGTAGCTTCAAAAACGATGATTATCAATGTCTATAGTTATTGGAACAAATTGGGTAACCAATTTCATCATGAAAAAATTTAAAACATAATACCATGGAAAACATTTCTATACACGTCACAATATTAAATACACACACAAACACACACGCACACACAATAATCTAGAACAGGCATTTTCTTTGCAGAAGTCAAAAGGTTTATTGACAAATAATACAGTACAATTTTTCCCCAGAGGCAGTACCTACCTACAGAAAGCATTAGTTAAACACAAAACTATCTCTTGGAGTTGTTGTTGTTTTTGAAGAGGTGGGCAGGAGGACACATGTAGATAGGTGGAAAGGAGACAAACCAAAATCTTAATTCTGATGGAATTCTGAGTAACTTTTATTTTCTTTTGTATTTCAGTATATTCCAAATTCTCAATTATTACACATTAACAGTCCAAGAAATGCTATTAAATGAAATGTTTACTTAAAATAAGTAATACAGGGGGACTTCCCTGGTGGTCCAGTGGTTAAGAATCCACCTTCCAATGCAGGGGACGCAGGTTTGACCCCTGGTCAGGGAACTAAGATCCCACATGCAGAGGGGCAACTAAGCCTGTGCACTCTAGAGCCTGCACCACAACTAGACAGCCTGCATGCCGCAACTACTAAGCCTGCGTGTCGCAACTAGAGAGAAGCCCGCACGCCACAACAAACAGCCCGCACACCACAACAAAAGATCCCATGTGCCGCCTGTTGGTGGGAATGTAAATTGATACAGCCACTGTGGAGAACAGTATGGAGGTTCCTTAAAAAACTACAAATAGAACTACCATATGACCCAGCAATCCCACTACTGGGCATATACCCTGAGAAAACCATAATTCAAAAACAGTCATGTACCAAAATGTTTATTGCAGCTCTATTTACAATAGCCTGGATATGGAAACAACCTAAGTGTCCATCATCGGATGAATGGATAAAGAAGATGTGGCACGTATATACAATGGAATATTACTCAGCCATAAAAAGAAATGAAATTGAGCTATTTGTAATGAGGTGGATAGACCTAGAGTCTGTCATACAGAGCGAAGTAAGTCAGAAAGAGAAAGACAAATACCGTATGCTAACACATATATATGGAATTTAAGAAAAAAAAAATGTCACGAAGAACCTAGGGGTAAGACAGGAATAAAGACACAGACCTACTAGAGAATGGACTTGAGGATATGGGGAGGGGGAAGGGTAAGCTGTGACAAAGCACGAGAGAGGCATGGACATATATACACTACCAGACGTAAGGTAGATAGCTAGTGGGAAGCAGCCGCATAGCACAGGGAGATCAGCTCAGTGCTTTGTGATCGCCTGGAGGGGTGGGATAGGGAGGGTGGGAGGGAGGGAGACGCAAGAGGGAAGAGATATGGGGACATATGTATATGTATAACTGATTCACTTTGTTATAAAGCAGAAACTAACACACCATTGTAAAGCAATTATACTCCAATAAAGATGTAAAATAATAAATAAATAAAAAATAAAGTAACTGGGAAGTGACCCCCACATTAAAAAAAAAAAAAGATCCCATGTGCCGCAACTAAGACCCGACCCAGCCAAATAAATAATTAAATAATTTTAAAAAAATAAATTAAAAATAAAATAACATAGCAAATTCTTCGAAGATAAAGCCTTTTCACTAATATTGGTGAAAAAGGAGCAACTCTTTTAAAAACATTTATCAAGAAAATGTTCACGCAAAAAAGTAAATGTAGAAAAGTTATCCTATAAAAGATACCCAGAAAAATATGTGTTAAAATTTTAAAAACTTGCTCAAATATGTTACTAATTGAAAGGAGCTAAAACAAGAGGCAATCATACAAGAACTTTTTTAATTACAAAAATCAATTTATTTGAGAAAAATATAACTTCCAAATTAATTTCCAAAATAAGGCATTTTGCTAAAATACCATCTCAATAAATATATGTTTAGCAATAATATTTTCTCATACAAGGAATTAGGTTTTCTTTTATATAGTAGTATACCAGCAACCCTAAGAAAAACCAATGCATTAAGAGTAAAGATGTTCCTAATGATACCCTTGGTATTATGAAATACCTCTGAATGCCTGTAACACCAGCTGATAGAAACCTGCTTCTAAAACACAACACTGAGAATTGATAATAATGGTAAGTATGTCATAACATACAAACAAACAGCAAAATCTGTTTTGAAGAAAATGGTTACACTGAGTAGTAGAAATAAATTCTTAAAGAGAGTCAACTAATTATCTTTAAAAACAGTTTTGTGTAATATATTCATAAAGATGCAACAGGAATAGATGCCTCTCTGGCTTTTTGCACTGTGCTTTCTGATACTCTGCTCTGTCTGTAATTCTTCAGCAGAACTCTAGCACGTCATTCTCCCTGTACAAAGATCATCAGCATCAAGATACTTCTGGCTGGATTCCCCAACTCTTTTGCCATAGATAATTGAGATTCACTCCAGCAGAGTCCCACAGAAGAACAGCCAGGGCAATAAGTCAAATGTGTCCTAACCCTTCTGTGGGAACCCCTAATCCTTGTGTCACAGGTCCAACAAAGCCATCACCCTCACTGGGCTTCCCCTCTACCACTGTTGGTGTCTGCTGCTTGTGGCATATTATGGTGAAATAAGAGCACATCAAAGTGATAACTGGTAGTGGCAGCCATGCTGCTACTCCCTCTTGAGAAGATGTCTTCTTGCCTTTAACTGACAAACTTCTTCAAATCTCATCCAGGGACTCTGCAAACAATGGAAAACAAATTAATGCCACTGCTGCATGGTACATATTTAAGCAATAAGAATGTCAGTCATCTGTTCCTGAGCTATCTTTGCCAATTGTCTGTGTCCATTAAGAGGGACCCAAATACTAAGGACTAATGTTGTCCCTTCACCACATAACAAGAAACTTCCAGGAACCAGATAACTAGACAACCAGTAAATGCAACAAAAAGACAAGTAATTATTTTTTGAGGGGAGAGAGGAAGATGTCAGACATTCTATAAAAGGCATGAGTAAAACCCAAAGGTTGCTGGAATGCAAGCTATATGACTGAGAAATCCCTTTATAAAGCATAATTGAAAGGTAAAAATCTATATTTACTTTTTATAATAAAGCAACAGGAAAGCTGTGACTGAAAATTAAATGGGTCTTCAGAGTCATAAACTTCCTTAGGAAACCAGCTTCATCATCTGTTCTCTCAGCCTTTGGATAAGGAAAGGGTAACCATAAAATTTGTCAGCCAAACCAGAGCACTTCTGAGAATAAAATGAAGTGCTTTAATAATATACTTGGACAACAGGCATAAACTAGGACTGCTCCAGGCAAAGAGGAGCATAAGGTCACTAGTCTAAATAAATACCATCTATGTTATGGAAATGTCATGAGTATCAAGTAAATGCTTAGCGCAGTGCCAGCCATAAGCCCTATATTTATACCGGGTTGTTACAGAAATGATCTCTCATAATAAAGTTCAATGAAAACTGTCATTTATTTCTCCTTCAAACAATGAATTTTACCACCAGTGTCCCAGAATGTAACACTTTGAAAAATTTACTCAAAAAAATTAAATAATAAATGGATATCACTTTATCACAACCTACAATGTACCAAATATCCTCTCCAGAAATACAATTAATCCTATTTAATACTATATCCAAAATGGTCAGGCCAAGAATTCCCCCTCAGTTTTATCCACTGCTTACCCACTGTTAAAGCTCTCAAAAATGACAAATATCCCCCCCCATAAACAAGTAGATGCTATAATCCAAAAAGAGAGTTTCATACCATCACAGTTATGAAAAATGCTTGCAACCAGGTGCCTGTCAATTTCCTTCTACAGCAGTGTTTCTGCCTCTCCAAGCAGCAGGTTCTCCAATTCTTCAAAGTTCTCTTTCTTACTGTTGAGCACCAGTTATCCAGAATCCACACAGGTATGCTAAATGACGGTTGCCAACATGAAATGCCAGGTCTCTACCATTTGCTTCCCCACTTCTGTAGTGGAGTTGTAAGGATCAGAAATAGACCCCCCCAATTTACAAACACACACACACATTCTTTCAACATATTTATATCCACTGCCTCCTACGTGCCAGGCATACTTGTACTCATTCACTCTACCTATCACACACTTGGCCAAGTAGTCAGTATAGGTGTATGTATAGGTATTATGTATGTGTGTGTAGGTATATATACATACACACATTGGGATGAAATAGATTCAGAACTATATAAAAAACAAACAAAAAGAAACAAATTTGAACTTCTTACACAGGCATGGTTCTGACAGAGAACTTCTATGTCTGTACATGTTCATTTTAGTGTAAAAAAATTAATCACCAGGGCATAATAACAACTGACATACCCCTCACGCTTAGTATCAGACACACAGAAATCTACATTTCTATGAGTTCCCATGTTGTGGCCAGAAATAAACTCTCAGAACTCCTGTTAATATAATGGTTTATTTATGTTTCATAGTAAAGAGAAAATAGAACAACTGCTACTTTCAGCATTTTCTGCTGACAATTTATATTTCCAAAAGCAAACACACCTGAGACCTTGCCCATCCAAATCCATTTAATAATGCCTTTGAAATGGTTGTATAAGTACTAAAGTTCTAAAAGTGCAAATTATTTTTAATTTGGGGAGAAATCAATAGATACAGAAAAGAAGGCAATTTCTCCATGTATGTAACAGCCATTTGATTCTGAGTCTAAGAATAAACTACCATTTAATAATTGGTAAGAGGAACTCACTGGCATCTTCAAAGGACACAAGTTGACAACCCTGCTGTATGGGAGCATTTGTAGTTATAATTAATACCAGTTCTATAGAGCAAAAGCCAGCCTCTGAATGAGTGCTCATAATAAATGATCACCAGTGAAAATCACAGACATCTATGAATAAACAATCTTACTGCAGTATCTAAGTGAAAGGCCCAGCAGAGAAACAGGTATTGTTACAGACATTTTTTAAAGTCACATAGACCAACCAACTTAGGCAAAACAATAAAAGAGGGGCAAAAATATTCTTCCTTTCTAAGTCTGAGCAATTACTACCATGGTGGGGTGGGAGGAAAGCTTATCAAGGGGGATTTTTCTGTTACATATGTTAAACTGAGAGAACCACTTTAGTGCACAGAGTTATCAGATTTAGCTTTACATATGCGGCTCTATGCCATTATAAATATTAACTTTCTCTTCAGAAAGATACTCCAAATTCATGTAATATGGTATATGGTCATACATACTAAATTATATGACAGTGAAATTAGAGTTTGAAAATATTACCCTAATTCATCTCAATAGCGAATTGCTACAACATATTATACTTACTGCCTCTTTAATTTCACAGGAGAAAACATGTATCTGGAATTCTTCTGAACCATGGGAACTCTCTGTAAATGCAAAGCAATTGCTCTCTACTGTCCCATCATGTCCACGTGCACAGAATAACACCTTATAAATTGGAAAAGATGCTATCTCCATGTTGTTGGATTGGTCTATGATTCTGCAGAACAGTGATGAAAAATGAGATAAAATATTAACTATCAAAGAACAAAGGCAAACACTTTTACTATGCCAATAACATACAAAATAACTATCTTAAAATCACAAAAATAAACTGGTACTAATAAAGCAAGAAAACAATTATCTTCATATTTTTGCTATACACACACACAAACACACAAATTCTTCAACTTCTTTTGAAAATTACTTCATTTTTGTGTCCTATGATCGAATTCATTTACTTTCAAAGCCAAGTATACACTGCCTGGTAAAATCAATGTCACGCATCCCTAAATGCTAGTCTTGTTCTGTTATGGCAAGAGGAATGCCAGTAAAAAATAGCACAGACCATCTCTGGAGAGTTCATTTCTATTTAAAGCAGCACCTGTAAGTTTATCCAAGTCCAGGTCATTCATCGTTCAACAAAGACTTCTCTTACCCTAAAAAAGGTCAGAGTGGTTCCAAAGATAAACTTAACAATGGAATTTAAGAGGTAAAAGGAGTTTGTGGGACTTAGGAGCAAATATTTCTCTGACTTTCCCTGTACAAATCCTAAGCTCTAGTTTGATCCAAAACCTCAAGACCACCTCAGGATCTCAAATTGTAGAACTGAGGGGGACCTACTAGGAATAGAGAGGCAAATCAAAACACTAAGTCTTTGTTAAGGTATGTTTGGCACTTTGAAACTCAATAGATACAAATATCAAAATGCCTTTTACTGTTAAGAGATATCATACAAACAATATACCTACAAAACGCTTTCCTGAAAAAGTCAAAGCATTTTTACCAAAACCTTGTAAATTTATATTGCTATTATTTTGGTACTTAGAACTTTTCTCACATTCTAAACCTCAGAGAATGAGGCAAATCAGAAAGGGTTTGGAAAAGATTAAATCAGTCTTCAGAGAATAGTATAGGTTCAAGACACATTCAACCTAATTTCCCAGACCTGGTTCATTTATTTGTTCATTCAGCAAATATTTACTAAAAACCTGCTATGGACTGATATTGCTCTAGACAGTACTATCAGACAGAAGCTGTAGCAGGAAAAAATACCAATAACCTGCCCCCACGGAACTTATATTCTAGTGAGGAAGACAGACAATAAACAAATAAGCAAATAAATATAAAATATCAAGTCAAAGAAAAGTTCTATGAAGGAAAAAAGGCCCAGTAAAAAGAAAGAGGGATAGTTATCATATGATCGAAGGAGGATTCTTTTGACAATTTGGCAGTTTCTTACAAAACTAAATATACCCATACTATAGGATCTAGCAATTACACTCCTTGGTGTTTATTCAAATGAGTTAAAAACTTACGTCTACACAAAACCCGGCACACAGATGTTTACAGAAGCTTTATTCATAATCGCCAAAACTTGGATGCAATCAGAATGTCCTTCCATAGGCAAATGGAAAAATAAACTGTGGTACACCCAGACAATAGCATATTATTCAGCACTAAAAAGAAATGAGCTATCAAGCCACAAAAAGACATGTAGGAACTCTTAAATGCCTATTATTAAGTAAAAGAAGCCAATCTGAAAGGGCTACTTATTACATGATTCCAACTATATAATTTACTGGAAAAGGCAAAACTATGGAGACAGTGAAAAGATCAGTGGTTGCCAGCGGTTGCAGGGAGGGACAAATGATCAGGCAGAAGGCAGGAATTTTCAAACAGTGAAAGTACTCTGTATGATATTCTACTGGTGGATACATGTCATTATATATTTGTCCAAACCCACAGAATGTACAACACCAAGAGTGAACCCTAAGGTAAACTATGGACTTTGGAAAATTATGTCAATGTAGGTTCATCAACTGTAACAAATGTAGGGACTTCCCTGGTACTCCAGTGGTTAAGAATCCGCCTTCCAATGCAGGGGACGTGGGTTCGATCCCTGGTCCAGAAACTAAGATCCCACATGCTGTGGGGCAACTAAGCCAGTGCGCCACAACTACAAAGCCCACATGTGCACTCTGGAGTCCGCGCGCCACAACTACAGAGCCCACGTGCTCTGGAGTCCGTGCACCACAACTAGAGAGCCCGCGCACCGCAACAAAGAGCCCATGCGCCTCAACGAAAGATCCCATGTGCCGCAACTAAGATCCAACGCAGCCAAAAATAAATAAACAATTTTAAAATAAATTAAAAATTGTAACAAATGTACCATGTGGAAGAGGATGTTGATGATGAGAGGTGTTTGGGGGAGGTGGAGGGATGCACATCTGGGATATGGGAAATCTCTGTACTTTGTGCTCAATTTTGCTCTGAAGCTAAAAGTGATCTAAAAAATAAACCCTATTAAGAAAAACAGGAAGGAAGAAAAAGAAGCCTTCTTTTGATAAAAAGGTTTCTTGAGGTGAAACCGGAGAGAAGTGAAAAAGCCACTGGAAAACCAAGGAAAGCTTGTTTAGGCAGAGTAGAGACTACACAAAAGCCCTGAGGTAGGAATCCTGACTGATAGGCCCTGAGGCAGGATTCATGACTGTGTTTGAGAAAGAGCAAAGAGGCTTCTATGACTGGAATGTAGCAAATGAATGAAGTGAATGAATGAATGAAGTAAATGTAGTGAAAGAAGTGAGAGAGCAAAGGAGGGAGGGAAGAGAGGGGAGAAGGGCAGAAGATCAGGTCAAAGCAGATCATCAGGGCCAGACATGGTAAGAATTTCAAATATAATCACAAGTGTGATTGGAGGCTACTGGAGGGCTGAATGTAGGAAAATAACAGTTATCTGATTTACATTTAAAGAAATTCAAGGTTCAGATGACATTAAATATTATTCCTAGTGAAGCATGTGAGAAAAAGCCATTTTGCTTCTTTCCAGTCTGATGTAAAGAGCTTGAAATCTAGGGATCACTCTAGTTTTCCGAACCACTGTTATATGACAAGGTGAAACACAAATCATAGGTATTTTGACAGTTATAGTTGCATTTATAGCATTCTAAGCAAATTTTACAAATGCCCCTTGCAAATAAGGAATACAGTCTAAACCTAAACATGTTTACTTTGCATGGCTACAGAGTAAAAGTGAATTCAGAGTAAGTCCAAGGCCTCACTTATGATAAAATATCATCACCACTACCCAAAAAAACTTCACACATGTCTAAGGGGGTAATAAAGGATTAGAGCTTACCTCACAGAACCTTCCGGAACATTTGGCACATACAGAGTAACAGGAAAGGGGTGCTGACTGGAAGATTTCATAGTTGCCATCGCCCGTAAAGCCTCCACTTCATTACGTGGGGAAGAAACCTTCATACATCCTAAGTAGGTCAGTTTGTTAAATAAAACACTATCTTCTTCAGGTATTCCACTTGGAGAAGATGGTCTGGGTGTAGAAATTTCTGAAGAAAAAAGAAAAAAGAAACACTCAAAAGTTAATATAAAACTTCACAGTATAATTTCATCTATTGCCCAAAAACAAATGAAAAATTGCAAATAAAATTTAGGTCTCTCTGTGTTTTCATTTCTTTTAATGTTTATCCTACATCTTAACTTAGAGTTTTGGAACTGGCCATTTTGTACTTCAGGTCTCTCAAAGTATTATCTTACTTAGCTATGACTTCTTTAGAGGAAAAGAAAAAAAACATTCTAAGCTTTGTATTTTAAAAAATCAAAAATACGGAGTTCAAATGATATAAAACAATAAGAAGAAAAGACTACACTAAAGACAGTGTGAATTATCCTAAAACGAATGAGAATTAAACAAAACTAAAATCCGTTAAAAGTGTTTCTGGTAAAGATCCTGCATAGCACCAAATTTATTAATCAGCCTAAATTCCTCAGCAAAAGTCAACAATGTTAAAATGTTCCATCTCATACTAATACCAACAAAGTCAAGCTCCTTATTTTTCTCCTTCCTAGCTTGCTGGCTTCTATAAAATATGTAAGTATTTCAATGAAAAATTTTTCCTCAAAATAATTATTTTGATGAATTATCCTATGATTGCTTCCCCCAATTCTTTAAAAAAAAAAAATTCCACTTTAATTCTAAGCACAGCATGCATGTAGCAAAGTCCCAACTGTGGTTAGAGAGTATTTATCTGCATATATCAGGTAGTATAAAGCTTCCCCTCTGCCACTCTCCCCATCCCCACCTAAAAACCCACATTCAGCTAATCTCCAACTCTTCCCGCTACCCACATCCACGCTGTACAAAATTAAGCAGCCTGTCTCACCCAAACTAGATCCTTGTGACATGCTCTAACTCTCATTACCAGGATTACACTTACAGGATATTAATAAATAATTCACAAAAGCCATTCCCAACCTCCCCACTCCAGCTCCCAAATATTATACTAAATCATGCACCCTTCACCACTTTTTTTCTATTGAAAAACTAAAGCTATTCAAATGAAGTACTTCATCTACCATGTTCTTCAATCACTGAAACATGTTTTTTCCACTTCTGAATCAGTTCAATGTATATATTTCAAAAGGGACATATAAAAAACTACAAATACATTTTAAGGCTGAATACAAACATGTCTAGAATATACATATATACATATATGCATTTTTGTTAATTTAGCAAGTACTTATGCAAAAACAATTATTTGCAAGATCGTATGGTAAAACTGTGCTTTGGTGACTGATGAACACGGTAGATCAAGTAGTTCAAATTGTCTAACGTATGTGTAACTGGAATTCTACAGAAGAGGAAAAGGTGGGGAAAAAGCTTTCTGAAGAAATAAATGTTTTACAAAATCTGTGTAGCTCACAGATTCATGAAACTCTGTATACCCCAAATACAAAAACAATACATAAATGGATCCAAAAAAGACAGATGACAAAATTGTAGACAAGACCGTTAAAGTAACTATTATAACAATGATAGAGGAATTAAAGAAAAACACCTAACAAAAGAAGGAGAAAAATGGAAGACAGAAAAAAGAACCAAAAGAAATTCTAGAGATAAAAAATGCAAGATCTGAAATGAAATATTCCCTGGATGGATATAACAACTAATTCTAATTTGCATAAGAAAACAAGAATATTAAAGAAGATCCTTGGGATAAAGGAAAATGATACTAGAGGGAAACTAAAGAGCACCAAAAGTTATAAATATGAGGGAACGACTTTTTCCTTGCCATTTAATTTCTTTAAAATACAGCAGACTGCTGGTCATCCCCATTTGGAAATCTTATTAATCATTATGTCCAAAATTGAATTCATTAGATGTACATGCCTTGAATAACTCTTGAATCCATCCCACTTTTCTTTGGCCCCATAGTCATTACCCAAATTACTACAGCAGTAACCTCCAGTCTTTCTTTCCTCCAATTTATTCTCCACACTGCAGCCACCAAGATCTTCCATAAAGATAGAAGAACTTCCATGGTGGCACAGTGGTTAAGAATCTGCCTGCCAATGCAGGGGACATGGGTTCAAGCCCTGGTCTTGGAAGATCCCACATGCCGTGGAGCAACTAAGCCCGTGCACCACAACTACTGAGCCTGCGCTCTAGAGCCCGTGAGCCACAACTACTGAGCCTGCATGCCACAACTACTGAACCCCGCAGGCCTAGAGTCGGTGCTCTGCAACAAGAGAAGCCACCGCCATGAGAAGCCAGTACACCACAACGAAGAGCAGCCCCCGCTCACTGCAACTAGAGAAAGCCTCCGTGCAGCAACGAAGACCCAACACAGCCAAAAAATTAATTTATTTATAAAAATAAATAACTAAATAAAATAAAATGCCAAAAAAAAAGATGAAAGAAAGAGAGAGAGGGAGGGAGAGAGGGAGGGAGGGAGGAAGGGAGGGAGGGAGGAAATAAACAGATATACCACACAAACACTAATTATAAGAAAACCAGAATGGCTATATTAATATCAGAAAAATCAGACTTCAAAACAACAAACAGTAACAGGAGAAAAAGAGACACTTCACAATGATAAAAGGGTCAATTTATAAGGAAAACATAATTTAAAAAGTGGCTATGCCCCTAATACCAGAGCTTCAAAATACTTGAAGCAAAAACTAGCAGAACTGAAGATCCTCAAACTGAACCAGTCAAATTGAAGTAACAAGTCTGCTATAGCTTCTATGTAGTAACTGAAAACACTGGGCAGAATATAAAAAGTAACTACTTTTATAGAATATAAACAAGTAACTACTCGTTTTTATTTTTTTTAATTTATTTTATTTTATTTATTTTTGGCTGCATTGGGTCTTTGTTGCTGTGCGCAGGTTTTCTCTAGCTGCGGCGAGCGGGGACTACTCTTCGTTGTGGTGCACTGGCTTCTCATGGAGGTGGATTCTCTTGCTGTGGAGCACAGGTTCTAGGCGTGTGGGCTTCAGTAGTTGTGGCTCACAGGCTCAGTAGTTGTGGCTCACAGGCTCTAGAGCACAGGCTCAGTAGTTGTGGTGCACGGGCTTAGTCGCTCCGCGGCATGTGGGATCTTCCAGGACCAGGGCTTGAACCCATGTCCCCTGCATTGGCAGGCGGATTCTTAACCACTGCGCCACCAGGGAAGCCCAGGATTGTTTTGTTTTTTTTTAAAGCAAGTAACAACAGACAGATTGGAGAGAGGTCAAAACGTGAAGAACTACCAGTATAGTACTGAATTCCCTTTTACATTTTTTCATCCTTTATATCCCATATTTGACCTACGGGCCGCCCAAGTAGCAGAACTGTGCAGTGAGCAACAAAACTGTGAGAGAAATCCAATTTTTCTGGCCAAAGCACAGAAAAAAAGAGTCCCTGTAAACCAGAGAACATTTGGGGAATTATAACTTTCTTTTCTCTCTCTCTCTTTTTTCTCTCCCAGTTCTACCACAAGGCCAGCCCCAGTGTTGGAGCTGCACCACTATGTGGGAAGTGGGGCTGGGGGGAAAGGATGGAGTGCCGTAGCATACGCAACTCGAAGAAAAGGAACCTCTCAGTGGTTAGAACACCCAAACAAACGGGCTTGGCTCTTGTGGTTCAAAAAGGAAAAGGAAACCTCTGCTATTTTTTTTCTTTCTTTTCTCTCACCACTCTGTCCTGAAGTGAGAAACCTGTCTTTCTATGCAAGAGAAGAAGGAAAATGGGCCCCAAGAAGCCAGAGAGTATGGGGGAAATCCTGAGGAGGAGAGTTGGAGAAGGTAATCCCCTAATTTTGTGTATGAACTAACACAAGTCTTGGGTTCACCACCATGCTATACATGTGTGGAACAGACCAAAGAAGCACAGCAAAGGTTTTGGAATTGATTGACTTTGGAACCAGAAAGCAAGATCGAACTTGCAGTCTGGATGTAACCAAGTGGACTGCCTGCTAAAATAAAACAAAATCAACATTCTTCAGAGGATTTTATCTGGAAACAGAATCTCAAAACGTAAGTTTCAGAAAGTCTGGAAAACAATTCAGTTACTCAACTAACAAAAAAAACAAAAAAACAAAAATAGAAAAAGGTGACCAATTGTCAAGGGAAAAGCAATCAACAGATACCAATCCCAAAATGATGCAGCTGCTGGAATTATCAAAGACTTTAAAATTGGTATTATAACCATGCTCTATGACATAAAGGTGAACAAACCTGGAATGAGTGAAAATATTAAAATCCATGGCAGAGGAACAGAAAATGTAAAAAGGTGAATTTTAGACCAGAAAAATAGAATATCTAAAATTAAAAATTCACTGGATGGGCTCAAAAGAAAGGAGATAACAGAATAGTGGGCCAGTAAACTGAAATACAGATCAACAGAAATTTTCTAAACTAAAGAAGGGAGAAAAGAAAAAGATTGGAAAACAATGAAAAGAGCCTTAGGAATTGCAGGAAAATATGAAAATACCTAATAGCTTTGTTGTCTGAGTCACGGGAAAAGAAAAAGACTATGCACAAAAAAATTTTCTAAAAAATGTCTGAGGGCTTCCCTGGTGGCGCAGTGGTTTAGAGTCCACCTGCTGACACAGGGGACACAGGTTCGTGCTCTGGTCCGGGAAGATCCCACATGCCGCAGAGCGGCTGGGCCCGTGAGCCATGGCCACTGAGCCTGCGCGTCCAGAGCCTGTGCTCCTCAACGGGAGAGGCCACACAGTGAGAGGCCCGCATACCGCAAAAAAAAAAAAAAAAAAAAAAGTCTGAAAACTTCCTAAATTTCAAAAAAGAGATAAATTTACAGATTCAAGAATCTCAGTGAACACCAACAAAGATAAATTCAAAGAAAACCACACCCATATAACCAAACTGCTGGAAAACAAAAATATTGAAAAAAATATTGAAAGTGGACAAACTGCACGTTACAAATAAGGGAACAAATAAGTGATTCAAATGACTGCAGATTTCTCATCAGAAATGATAGAGAAGAGAAGACAGCAGGACAACATCTTTAGAGTATTCAAAGAACATTGCTCCATAGAAATCCAGGGGTTAGGTATGTCAATGGAGTTAATGGGCCTACACCCTGCCCCATGCCCTTTGTTTTTTTTTTGTTTTTTTTTTTTTTGGCCGAGCCACACGCTACGCGGGATCTTGGTTCCCTGACCAGGGATCAAACCATGCCCCCTGCAGTGGAAGCACGGACTCTTAACCACTGGACCACCAGAGAAGTCCCCCCCATGCCCATTTAAAGTGATATGTTATAATTACTGGGCTTTGACCTAAAACTGTATGTGATTTTATTCTGAGGTTCAAGATTTCCAAAACTATTGATGATGACAAACATTTTATTTGGTACTTACTTTGTGCCAGGCATTTTACAAAATACTTTATGTGGATGGTATCATTTGAACTTCTAAATCCCTATGAAACGGGTTCTATTTTATCTCTATTTTACAGATGAGATAACTGATCATTAGAGTAGTTGAATAATTTGTCCAAGCTGCAGGCAGAGCCTGGATTCAAATCTAGGTCTGAACTCCAGATATCATATCTTAGCCTCTATGAAAGGTCTAAAATAGAATGAATTAAAATCAAAATGAAGTTTATTCTGCCCTTAATTATAGAGTACCAGCTCTTCAAGGGAAGGAACTGTTCTATCCTCTTTTTATTCCCAGCACTTATAACAAGTGTCTAAAAGACTAGGCACTCAGTATATGCCAAATGAATCAATCAGTAAATAAATGAAATTTTTTAGAGCTAGTGGTCCTTTTAGCAACCAATTAATGGCAAACACACATCATCTCTGGGTACCACTTAGATCCTATCTCATCCACAACTAAATGTATCATAACTGCAGCTTTCATGTAGACAAAACTCGTGACTAGTGGAAATCCGAAGTTAAGCAAACAAACAGCAAAATATTTTTAGCAAGGCAACACTTTTAGATCTCGTGAAATCACACATCGATGTAAGAAATTCATATCCTCCTAAATATAAATTCAGTCCTGTTCAAGTCATACTTTTGAATTCCATCATCCCTTCCTTAGCAGAAAGATGCAAAGAATAACAAAGAGCATGAGAGAGAAGACTCATCTATGTATCCACACAGTATTTTAGTACATTACAGTAAATTAGTAGATTCCCTGTAGAGGTGAATCCAAGTAGCCAGGACATACGATCACCAAATGACAAAAACCAACAAGTTATCATGATGTTTAAACAAAAGCCCTTATCTATCTAAATTTATCACTGGCAAATTACATATCTTTAATGTTCACTTTAGCCCATTTAAATCTAGATACTTTCCAGACAGTCCCTTACCTTTGAAGTTATGTGTCATTTTAATCGACCACAACAATTCTTCTGTTAACAAAAACTGCAACTATGGGCTTCCCTGGTGGCGCAGTGGTTGAGAGTCCGTCTGCCGATGCAGGGGACATGGGTTCGTGCCCCGGTCTGGGAAGATCCCACATGCCGTGGAGCGGCTGAGCCCGTGAGCCATGGCCGCTGAGCCTGCGCGTCCGGAGCCTGTGCTCCGCAACGGGAGGGGCCACAACAGTGAGAGGCCCGTGTACCGCAAAAAAAAAAAAAAAAAAAAAAACTGCAACTATGAAGAGGCAGCTGAAATGTCTTCTCATAGTTCTTTCAGGCTGCTATATAACAAAATACCACATGGGTGGCTTATAACAACAGACATTTATTTCTCACAGCTCTGGATGCTAGGAGTCCAAGACTGAGGCTCTGGCAGATTTGGTGCCTCATGAGAGCTCACTTTCTAGACAGCATCTTTTCACTGTGTCCTCACACTGCAGAAGGCACAAGCTAGCTCTCTGGAGTCTGTTTTAGAAGGACATAATCCCAATTATGAGGGCTTTGCCCTCATGACCTAATCACCTCCCAAAGGCCCGACGTCCTAATACCATCACTAGGATTTCAATATATTAATTTTGGGGAGAACACAAAACATATGTCTTTTCATTGAAAATGAAAAGAAACAATATATAACAAGGAAAGAATGCTTTTTAAAAACTTACTTGTAAAGCAAAGTGGAAATTCTTATCCACTGAGATCTTCAGGGAAAGATACATTTTTTAAAAATGTATTTAATATAATGGGTGTTGAAAACACACAAGTACATTATACATGGTCCCTATCAAATATGCTCAGAAATAAGAATATTATCTAGGCCATTGCAAAGGACAACTGATTCCAATAACCCATCAGAGCTTTCAATACATGAGAAGATAAAGGTATTTCTTCCTTTTGATTAATCTATTAACCAAAAAAATAACTATAGGAATGTTGATGTCAGTATGCTTTGGGTTTGGGGCGAAGGCTAGGGATTTAAGAAATTCAAAAGATAAAGAAAAGCACAATGAAAAATATAATCTCTCATGTTCCCTCAATCAAGAACTAAAAAAATTAATATTTTGTAAGGCTTATTTCCAATCTTGTGTGTACACACACACACACACATATATAAAGTCCCCTTGAACTTAAATCTAGCCATGAATATGAATATACACTGAAACCTACGAGTCTTTATAATGAATCATTAAACTAGGGGCACTTTCGGGGACCCCCAACACATGGCAAATATCTTCTCTGAGCCTCATTTAGCCATATTTATTATGGTACTTTTCTCATTCAGATTTAAGCTTTTATGTATTAAAATGCAAGTAGCTTTTCCTTTATGATTTGGCTTTTCCTACCCTGACAATCACAAAAATATTCTCATTATTTTCTTCTTAAAGGTTCATTTTTCCCATTTAAATATTTGATTCACTAGGAATAAATTTGGGGTACAGTGTAAGGTAGGGCCACCGTGTTTCCACTGTGTAGCACTCTGGCCTATATCTACACCTACCGTACACGAACATTCAGAAATGGATCGTGAGTGCCTTAAATCAGTCAGGATGATCTCATCTCCTCTGTCAGAATGACTCACTGAGGAGTTTGAATATAACCAAGGCCTATACCACCTATTGGCTCATATCATTCCCCAGACTACTAGAAAATGATTCAGTTGGTCCAATCAGAGTAAAACTCACAACTTTTGTTCGATGGGTAAAAGATCAGAGCCTTTCTCTCGGTCACCAGACATGAACAAATCACCTAGCCTTACTTATCAATTTCTGCAGCTACCTACTTTGTGACCACAAAGGATGCCAGTTAAGGAGAAAGATGACATGGAGAAGATCAAAGCTGAGTAGTTTACAAAGAAATACTACCAGAGGCCAGATCAAACCACACCTCCAGTGTTTAAACGAGCTGAAGTAGGAGTTGGGTTGGGTTTGGTTTGGCTTTTCCTTCATCCAAAACCATTTTGACTTACAAGCTGGTATTCCTACTATAAATCCTACTCATTCATGCACGTACATATTATTTATTACACTGTAATAAATACTTTTACAGTATTATTACACTGATGGAGTTGATATGTTATTTTACTTAGAATTTTCACAAATTGTAATTGAAATAACTGTAGTCAAACTGAGTAAGAAGTCACATTATATGGAAGAATGTGCCCATTACACTGTTCTTTGATACCCAAGAATTTATTCATTTGTTCAATAAGTATTTATTGAGGGCCTACTATATGCCAAGTACTAGGGGTAAAATGAATGCCCAGACATAGAGCCAGTTCTCAAAGAACACTGAGACTGATTTTACAGGTGGAGATACAAACAGAAACATAAGAACCAATGTGGGAACTGAAAAGCTGCTGGCCTTGATCTCAGAAAATGAAGCTAATAAAATTTTCTAATATTCATCTTAAAATTTTCATTATCACTTTATCCCATTTCTATTATACTTTCTAAGAGTTCAATACAGTACCTGTATTCGACGGATCCAAAATTAATTGAAGAGATGGCTTATTTATTTGGCTGGCCGAAACATCTCCAAATGAATGGTCTGAAATCTCACTGGAACTCGGACAATCAACAGGAAGGCTGCTTTGCCCTTTCTCAGAATCTCTCAAAATCTCTTCCATGGCTTTTTCCAGTTGTTCATCACCATTAGAAACTATCTACAGACAAAGCAAGACAATTCGTTTCAATCATAACATGGTTCTGGAACTTAATGAAAATATTTCATTTCTAGAAGAAATTTTAACAATCTAAATATTTAAATTTAAATATAGTTACTGAATACCAAGAATTTATACAGCTGTACCTAATTTCATTAGATATATATAAAATCCTGAGTTATAAACTCAACTAAATTAGAGGATTATTAGTATCAGAAAAGGATTCTTCAGAAACATACCAGGCATTTTCCAACTATATCTGATCTAAGATCTTATTTACAGATATTTTCTTTTCTTATTTTTTTCTTTTTCTCTTTTAGAAACGTATTCTAAAAACTGGGTAATCCTAAATTTATGTTTTGTTTTTTTTTTTAATTTATGTGTTTTAAAGAGGAAAATGGATACATTTAAATAGATAATATGTAGCACTGATATCATTTAAAAGGTCATATTTTTTGTTATCATAGCATAAACATATTTCTGACTCCTTTACAAATTTTGCTTGAGCTGTCAAGGAGTACTGCTAATTTCCTTACTCTTAAGTTGACTCATCTTCTTCTTAAAAGCAAGTGAGACACAAAGCCTAAGTAAATAAATGCCTTAAACACATTAATATGAAAATACAGAGTTAAATGAATTTAAAGAGCTGTTTATTTAAATACAGATATTTGAATAAATTTAAAGAAATCCACTGATTAATAAAATTATAAAAATATATATCCTCAACATAATGTAAAATGAGTACTTAATAATCTGATTTTTATAAAATTTTATTAGATTGATTTTATTAGATTAACATACTAACATACCTTTGATATAATTAATATTAAATAAAAGACATAAATAATATACAACATTTTTGGCTAATTTCTCTCTTCCTATTTCTAGAGGGTGGTTATGCACTTCCCATACATGTATACCTGGGTTTATTTGGTTCTTTTTTTTTTTTTTTTTTTCAAGTCAGGAAAGGCAACATAAAACATGAAAAAGAAAAAGGACCACATCCAAATAAAAACTCAACTGCTAAAATTATAAAACATATACTTCAAAAATATTCAGACAAGTGTTAAATCACATACTTGAATGTTACCAGCTGACTTAAAACATAAAAATCATAAAGAAAAGTCAAGTGAAAATAATACATAACTACATACTTATGTAATTAATTTTTAAAACCCAGCAGCAGTAAGAGACAAAAATATCCAGATAAATTAAATTTATGTAAGATTTAACCATTAAGTCTAACTTGCCAATTATCCTTTCTCTTCTTTTTTCCCTCCTATTCCTTCTTTCTGAATTCTAAAGTAAAAGATAAAAAACCGAAAGCAAAAACTTCAAAAATACACAAACCAAATAATTAGCATCTGGATAAATCAAACACTGATTCTAGTCTCGAGGTCAGTACTCAAGAAAAACCTTTGGATTTTATATATCTCCTGAGATAAGTTTCACCTAGTTAAAAATAATAATAATAATTTAAAATAATATCATTTGTAGAAAAGGGAAAAATACCTTCAGTTCAGGTTTTTCATCATCTTTTGTAGAAGTATCATCTGCATGCTGAGGAACCAAAACAAATTCTTCACTGTTCAGTGTAGTCACAGAATCCGATGACCCACTAATCTTCTGTAATGAAGCTCTGACCTCCATTTCAGTGCTGCAAACCTCTCTTCCCACATCCACCTGGTCAAAACCACAAGGAGTAAGAACAAAAATTAGTGAATAAAAACATGAACTATTAAGTACCTGATCAATCTTTGGCCTTTAAAATTGGTTCATGCAAGGAAGAATTCTGCTGGCTAGATAATTATCTCAAAACTAGGGAGGCTACCTTCTTGGGCTGGGCCACATAATGGAAATGTACCCTGAGTTTCCACGCTAAAAGAACCATATTGTTCCCTGAAAAACAACACAAACCTGACCATATCTCAACTAAAAGGATTTACTACTATTTGGCACTCTACATATTTCTCCTAGAAATACTTTTTGTTCTTTTTAATAAATAGAAAACTAAATAATAAATAAGCTAGAAGTATCTACAAATTCATACACAAACAAAAATACATTCACTGAAATTACTTTATAACTAAACCTAAATGTCTGCAAAAACTTATCTCCTCAAGACTAAGTATTGTACCTTAAAATATTTTTTCTGTGTCACTTAAGTTGACTAATTAACATAGAATTCAACACCCTAAGCCATGTATCTTTTCTTTTCCAGACATGTAGCCACTTATCTACAGGAGGCAAAAAAAGCAGGGGAGGTGAGGGGAGCAAAGCTTTCACATTGCATTCATGCAGCAGTAATCAAATACAGTGTGATTCTGTTTTCTGGATAGATCTCTACTTTACACCATAGAAACTCAACATTCTCTATCACTTCCAGAAATTCAAATATTCACACAACTAATTTTAACTGAACATGTACACTATATAACAGTCAGTATACTCACAACTGCAGTTACATGAGCGAATAAGGCAAACAAGTTGCCTCCTCTCGTGGAGCTTACATCTAGTGAGGAAACAAGCAAGTAAGGTAATCCCAAATCATTCTCAGGCTATGAAGAAAATACAACAGCCTAATGTAACAAAGAGTAGCTGTAAGGAATACACGGACAACTTTAAGTAAGGTGGTAGGAAAGGACTCTCTGAAAGGGAAATATTTGAGCTGAAACCTGGAAGATAAAAAAGAACTGTATATTAACCAATCTGCTCAGTGACCAAAGGGGTAATGTGACAGAGAGGTAGGACAAGTAGACCAGTGCTAAAGAACGCAGGACCTTGTAACCATGGTAAGTCTGCTCCATGCCAAAAATTCCCCCATAAATGTTCTTTTTCTCTTTCTAATTAGGTTATTTTGTTCACTGCCTCATATAAATACGGCTGCAATATCTCATTTTGCCATTAGGTGACACTAACACCATTACTCTCAGAAAAAAAAAATTAATAATAACTTCCCCCTTCAAGTTACACTTTAAAAAATTACCTCCTAACGTTATCAAAAGTCAAAGTTTCTAATAATATCAAAACAAAGGATAATTACTGCAAACTCCAAGGCCGGTGTAATTAGCTAGCCTTCATTTATTTGTTAGGCATATAAACATCCTTCCTTTTTAAAACCCTTCAAGCACATTCATCTGTCCTCTAAAGGTTTTTCTCATTTTGCACGTTATATGTTTCTGAAAATGCAGTATGTGTTAGAAGCCATGTTTTTACCCTTCAGGCTGCCCCATGAATCCGTGATTGCCAAGACATCACACATTCCAGGTGTTCTTTCTGTGGCCTATGCTTCTCCAAATCTTTTTCAGTTGCCACTCCTCTACTTGACCTCTAAATGTTGGAAATTCCCCCAAGTTCAAGTCCCGAGCTTTTTTTTCTGATTCCTTGCCACACACTCTAAGTAATATCTCTCATTGCCATGGATTTAAATAGCATCTATATGCTGAAAGACTCCCAAATTTCTATCCTAACCCAAATGTCTCCTCTAAACTCCTGATTTGGAATCCAACTCTTTATTTGATATTTCCATGTGGAATTCTTATCAGTATCTTAAAATGTGACCCACATGGAATTCCTAATGTCCCATCCAAAGCTGTTCCTTATTCAGATTTCCCATTTCAGTAAAGAATACCACCTTCCACCAAGTTGCTCAAACAAAAAATCTGGTTATCATCCTTGATGCATCTCTACTTCTTCATTCCTCTCACTGCCAAGTCATGTCAGCCCCACTTCCAAAATAAATCCCACATCTATCCCCATCTTTCTCCACATCCATTTTACCAACCTAATCCAAGCTATGATCTCATCTACTATAAAAGTCTCCTAACCCATCTCCTACCTCCAGTCTTCTCCCTAATCTACTCTTCACAGAACAGCCAAAGAAATCTTTTTGAAAGTAAGTTGGATTACATTAAAACTCCAGACTAAAATCTTTTCATTAAAATTCAAATAAAATCCAAACTCCTTGCCAGGACTTAAAGGCCTGACACACCCTTGCCTCTGTCATTTTATCATTACGGCTCTTTAGTCATAGAAAGTTTTTTCCCACTTTAGGGTATTAGCTCTTATCTCCTACCTTCATATGGCTGACTCCTACAGGTATCAGCTTTGTTTCGTCCACTCAACAAATATTTAATGAGTCCCTACTATGTGATAGAAACTGTAATGGAAACTGGAGACTAAATGATTAGTGAGATGAACGAAGGCCCAGTCTTCTTAGAACTAACATTCTTATGGATGTGATAAATAATACAGAAGAAAATTAACTAGGATCACATACTGGAAAAAGTACTGGAAAAGATGATGAGAAGGGGCAGGGAGCAATATGGATTCAGTTGACATTTGGATTTAATAAGAATAAGCAAACCATGGAAAGAACTAGGGAGAAAGAACTTCAAGTAGAAGAAATAGCAAATACAAAAGCCTTGATGTAAGAAAAGGCTTACTGAGGAACAGAAAGGAGGCCACAATAGCTACATAATAATGAGTATGGGGGTAAGAATACAGGTGTCCCTCAGTATCCATGGAGAATTGGTTCTAGGAACCACCACAGACACCAAAATCCACAGATGCTCAAGTACCATAGCTGGCCCACTATATCCTTGATTCCTCATCTGTGGCTTCAACCAACCACAGATTGTGTAGTATTATAGTATTTATTGAAAAAAATCTGTGTATAAGCAGACCCAGACAGTTCAAACCCATGTTGTTCAAAGGTCAACTATAGTTAGTATGAGATGAAATATAGACAGGAAAGGCAGAGAAGCCTGAGGCCACCCCTGATGTTAAGGCTATCCCGCAATCCCAACTCTGTTTTGTTCACCAGGGAATATTCCATTCCTACTTTAGTGTCTAGTACATAGTAGGTATTTAATAAATGTGTTGAAAAAAATGTTAAAAGCCCCAATCAGGCTAAAGTTCTCACAACTACCAAATGTGGAGCCAGTATTCAAACTAGGTAGTCTGACTTCAGAGTACATGCTCTAAAACACTACATTATACTGTCTCTTAAAGTCTCATCTGTTCTTGAGATCCAAGGTTGGTATCAATGGAACATCACTATGTGCACTGAACTTTCCCCACACCTCTCCTCCTTCAAAACTTATCTGTCTCTTCCACCAAAACATTCTTCTTAGATAAGTGATATTTACACTAATAGTTAATCCTGAATTAGCATGCGAATGAATACTAATGGTTGCTCAATTCAAATAAGATGTCCATTTATAATAGAGGTTTTCTTTAGCCCAAGAGAATGTCAGATATTCTGCCATGCTAACAAGAAAACTATTAGTTTACCATATGTAATTTTGTGACCCCTCCAGAACACAGCTCACCACTTCTCATTCTACTCAAAATTAAGACAGCTCTCATTACAACCATAAAAACTCTGCCTTGAAGGGCGTTATGGATACTTTTAGAAGTTTACCTAATGCTACTTTATTGGACTGAAGATTGCTTTGAACCTCAATATAGAGATGACATGCTTATCAAATTTGCACACAAACACAAAATCTGAGAATGCAAAGTCAATACTTTAAAATGTTTCCACAGGCAAGTAATAAGATTTAAATATGGAAAGAATAGTCTTTTCAATAAATGGTGTTGGGACAATTAGAGAACCACATGCAAAAGAATGAAGTTGGACCCCAACCTCACACCATACACAAAACTTAATTCAAAATGGATCACAGACCTAAATATAAGAACTAAAACTATAAAACTGTTAGAAGAAAACATAGGAGTAAATCTTCATGTCCTTGGGTTAAGAATGGTTTCTGATATGACATCAAAAGCACAAGTGGCAAAAGAAAAAAATAGTTAAACTGGACTACATCAAAATTTAAAATGTGCTGAAAATGATACCATAAAGAAAGTAAAAATAAAATCCACAGGATGAGAAAATATTTGCAAGTCATATATTTGATAAGGGTCTAATATCCAGATTATATGAGGAACTCTTACAAGTCAGTAATAAAAAGACAAATAATTCAACTTCTGGTATCAGCTAAAGAGCCTGGAAGTCATCACTCCTTTCCCTATAACAAGAAAAGGTTGAACAAACTGAAAATCAATAGCTTTTCTTGGATCCATCAGAGAACTGAGGTCACAGGACCAACTGCCATTCCAAATCGGGGGGCAAGCAAAAGAGAGACAGCGACTGAGATCTGTTTACCTGCAGCAAAAGCTGCTGGAGCCATAAACTGGAAGAAACACTTAAATGATAATTTTGACAAATTGCTGGAAGCTAAGTGTGGAATTTGGGTGTGAGAGGGGAGAGTGGGTTGTGGAAGGGTGGCTTCAAATTTTTTGCATATTTAGTTGGTACTTAATAATAAGTAATAATAAAGAAATTTCTAACATTCAAAAAAGAGAAAGCTGGAATAACTATATTGATTTTAGACAAAGCAGACTTCAGAACTAGAAAGATTATCAGAGATAAAGAGGGGTATTATATAATAATAAGAGGGTCAATTATCCAAGAAAACACAAGAAACAAATGAGTATGCACCTAAGAACAGAGAATTAAAGTACTTGAGGCAAAAACTGATAGAACTGAAAGGAGAAACAGACAAATCCACTATTATACTTGGAGACTTCAACATCCCTATCTGAGATGACAGATCAAGCAGGCAGAAAATTAACAAAGATATAGATGACCTGAATAGCACTATCAGTCAACTTGA